AAAGGTACATTCTTAGCAAGACCCAAGGTCTGTTCACTGTCCTGTTTGCACTCTGCATTTGAATTTTTATGTCTGGATCCCATGAGATGGCCAATTTCTTAGCCACTTCCACATCCATGGCAATAATTTGAGAACCAGCATCTAACAAACATTCGATCTGTCCCATTCTATTAATCACTGGGAAGACGGTTCGTAACGCATGAGACTCTTTTGCAACATAGATTTGTTTTGGTTTCTCAGACAGGCCTAAACTCTGCAGGTATTGTGCTACTGGATCACTGATGACGATAGACCCTTTTGGCACGTTTCCTTCATCTCTTGTTGTCACTATAAAAGCCGCTTTTATATTTAAATCATTAATGGATATCGCGTCCACCTCCAATTCAAATTTTGTAGGTTTTAACGGTACTGCATCAACGTCAGGCTCTTCCATCATAGTAACTTTTCGGTTTTGAGCTTGTTGTACTGGCATCCTTTTCTTAGATAAAGCTTTAATCAAGTCGTGTCTAATACCTGGGGAAATGCTTATCAAAGTCTCTGCCGTCAGTGTAACTGGGGCATTATAGAGATTCACTAAAGCCTCTCTCTCGTGTGTTACATTCTCAATTGGTGCTTGGTGTTTATAAGAAACAGGTCTTTTCTCAGTATCAATAATTGGCTCAAAATTATCAATCTTTATTTCTTCTTTTTGTCTTGGATCATTCAGGTCAGGAATATTTAAGTATGGTAACTGTTTATGCCTAGGCACTGGATCCTCCTCTTCATCATCCCTTGGGAGAAGTGGTTTAGGCTTCTCTTTCGGTTTTGGTATAGCTTTCTGGGTTTTCTTAATTACTACAGGAGGAATTTCTTCCTCCACTTCTTCAATTTCTTCTTCTTGCTCATCATCAGAATCTTCGAATTCTGCTAATTGTCTGCAGTTTTTGGCTTTAGTTTGGTTCTCAAGAGCTTTCTTACTTCTGGTATTGACCGCATTCCTACCAGATCGCTCAATCCTTGAACCTACGAGAAACCCTGCTGTTCCTGAGTATCAGCTTGACTGTGTCTAGTAGCTACATAACTTGCAGCTTCTTGACTTTGACCTTGCTGTCCCTCAAAATATGACAGAATGTTTTTCATATTGTTGACTATGTCAACTTCTTGTGCCGATGGACGTGCCACCTGTGCTGGCACCTTATTACCCAACAGTGTATCAATTCGAGTAGCCATTTTATCTAACATATCATCTCTCAAATCTCTAATCTGGTTGGTGTATACTGATTTAACTCGAGCATCTATTCCCAACTGGACGATACCTGGCTCTCCGCTGTTCTGGGTGTAAATTTCTCCAGGCGATGCAAACATATTGCTTTGCGCCATCATATCTTTATTGCTAGCTTCCTCAACAATCATTTTAGCAGACTTCCCATTTGTCCCTCTAGGTACTGGTTGTCCTGTGAGCATGAAAAACATCTTATGACCGGACATTTTAATTTTTCCCGTTCTAATATGTTCTTCCCTATGAGGACAATTCATCGCGAAATGCCCTGTTTCTTCACAGTACCAGCATCCGTCTGAACCCATTCTCCAAGTAGGCTGTGTCTGCCTCATGGTGGGTGCTGAGGTAACATGCTGGGTCATTAATGTCTCAGTTAATTTGTTCATTTCTTGTCTAGATGCTTGGAAGGCACTCATTTGTGCTTTTTCACTCAATGTAATTTTATCCATGAGTAACGCAACTTTCTGGTTTAATTCTCGGATATCATCTTCTAGCTTAACACTATGTACTGGCGTAGTATGCGTGTGATGCCCTCGTGTCGTCCATGTTTCTGTCGCATTGACACCAACCCGGGTATCACTTGAAGAGCTTATCCCTTGTGCACATCCTGCAATAGTCTCAGCCATTTCAATTACATCTAGGATAGCATATGGATCCTCTGGACGGCATTCTTTTCCATCGACAGCTTTTCCTTTATCTCGGGAAAGCTTAATATTGAGACTTCCTTCCACTTGTCCTCAGAAACTATCCCTTAGACATCCTAAAAACAGTTCTACCAATTCTCTGTTGCTCACCAAGGCAGGTGGCACCAAGAGTAATTTTTGTTCTGCTCGGAAACCTCTAGTGAGGCTTTTAAGTGCAACAATGTCATCAATATCAATGCGCTGATGGTCATTACAAATTTTTCTCAAATTTGCTAGTGTTCCTTTTCCAGCATTCTTTGCCTCTGGATAGTCATCGATCAACGCCTGTTTAAACTCCTTGTATTCAATTTCGGGAGCAAACGTGTCAAATGCTTGCCATTCAAATTCCGTCATTTGGTCTGTATACCTTCCTAACTGTTTCTTCTTTTCTTGATCATCATTGATACCATGCTCTGTGAACAAGTCCTCCATTTGGTCAATGAATCTTAACAGCTCAATGGGTTTTTCCTTGTCAAAGTTAGGAGCTCCTCAGGAGCCTGGCAATGGCATCGGTCTAGACGATCTTCTGCCTCCAGTGGCAGGAGCTTCATCTTGGGTATTATCTGGCATGTTTGTAATATTTCTTTGGGCTAACGAGTTCGGGTTTATATTATCAGATGCCCTAACAGTTTTTCTACGAGTTGCACGAGGAGGCGGTTGGGATACTGTCTCTGTTCTTAACGGAAACCTTTGCGCTACTGCTGTTGCAGGTTGCTTAGCTTTTCGTTTAGGTGGAGGTGGTAAACCTGACGATTCCCCTGCTTTAATAGAATTTGCTGTTTGTCTGATTTTTGGTGCCGTGGTGAACGGCTCTGCACTAGTAGTTAAATTGCTTCAAACGCTAGCGGTTTTTAATTTAAACTTTTGTTCAAATAAAATGATCCCGTAGATCACTAAACTTTCAAGTCTTTGCTTTATCAAAAACAAAAGGAGACCCTCGCGGTGGGCTCCAGATGATATGCGTTGCACGGTGATGACCGTGAAAGTGCGAAACACGCGAACAAGGATCAAGCACGTCGGGAAAACCCTAAACACCTAAACACTCACTCACACACACACACACACACTATCACAATCTCAGTGCACGAGTTCGAGGGCCTTTGGTATTAAGAAATACCACTTTTGTCTTCTTAGGTTTAAGTCTCAAGAGATTTCGTCTCAAAACGGGTTTTTATTATAAGGTGTGGTTTAGAATAGTTCAATAGAACAAAGTATGTCTTTCTGGGAACTTGGTCTCTTAAATGCAAAGTTCTTTGATCACAGTTTCTTTTATTAACACAAAACATGACTTCAATTGACTTTTATGACTCCCGTGAGTTTTTATTATGTCACTACGCTCCAAAACCAAGGGTACGAGTACGCTGTCTCGTCTAAATAATACTGTGTTTTTAAAACCTCTTATTCAAAAGTCTCCAAGTAAGTTGACTCCCAAGCATGCTGGCTTCGTTCACACTGTACTTTTCTGACCACGAAGAAATCTCCTTTAATTGATTACAACTGTCCACCTCCTAAGTTCCTACTTGGAGTGCAACTAGCTGGTCAACGGGGGGGCGATTGCTTGCCTTTTGACCTGCCAGCGCGCTCCTTATATACTCCAGGAACCCCTATCTACGTTTTACATGTGTTTTAATGCGGGATACTTCGGTCCGAATTACAAATATGAAATTTAATGAATGTGTGGTATATTTTGTAGTCTATCTCTGTGAACACTACAGATTTTGTAGTGTCGCGTCTTTCATTTTCAAACGCATCAGTGTTTGATGCATACGCGGAGTTAGCCAACGTAGCTATTCTTAGCTTGGCATGGTCTCGCGTGTTTCTTTCTATGGCCCGGTTTACCGGTTTGACAGATGACATCACAAAATGATTAACGTTTCCTGATGCGTTGATGCGCATGCGTACGCATTTACCAATAGTCTTCGGCCTTCCGTCGCTTCCGAGTTTTTAATTAAAATGCCTTGTCTTGGCTCGTCTTTTCATTACGGAGGTCGGGAGACACTCTGAAGGTGTTTTCAAATGTCTTTCTTAATTGTCAGGGGGTTCTTATTATATTTCATATAATAGAATGTGTCTTTTTCTCATGTTTGTACTTGTGATGTTCAGACGCATCAGTCTTTGATGCGTACGCGGGAACTGCCGTACATGTCTTTCTGAATGGCCGTGAGCCACGCTAAGTCTTCGTATGTTTACTACCTAGGTGTAGTTTAGTCTTTCAATGTTTCAGACATGCCGTTTAAGCGTCTATGTCGTCTTTTCTGTATTTCTTGTATAAGCACGAGTTTTCACAATAAATCCATTATGTGTTTCTAAACCCTTTGGTAGTAATGCAATTCTTCTCCCTGTGTTGGGTGTTTACTCTAGAACCTCTTCGTGCTCTATTTCATGGTAGGTGAATCTTAGATAGGATCCAAGTATAATGTCACAACGCGTACTGCTGCCAGTTCCAAAGCCTTGTCCTATTTTCAGATTCCACGCATTTGCATTTTTAGTCAACTGCGCCGGGTATGTGCATTGACTCTTTGTATCATTGCAATTGTATGTAGTGTATTTATTAGAGATGACCTTTATCGGTAAAATCATTAAAATTGAATTTTATACGGGTGAAATGGTTTCATCCATATCAGCAACACCACTCAGCTGAAGAATATGTTAAAGAATAAAATAATGGAATTGGTCTGTCAATATGGCTGATGTTCTTATTGTTCAACAGTTTAAAATTTTGTTAATCAATGTTTTTGGCATACACAACAGCTTTATTATTCTAGGAGTGTCGACAATTATGGAGGTACCTTTGCCTAGATCAAACATTGGACCCTGTCTCAAGTGTAAGTAATGGTCAGGCCACAATGCTGTAGGGTGGTAGTCTCAGCAATGAATATGTCATATATAAACACCACAAGAGACTGAAACTGAAACTGAAACTGAAACTGAGTACATAGAATTTTTGCTTCTCCTTAGTCTCTACATAACTCAATGATGGACATGTAAAAGAAACAATTAGTATAGGAGATGTAGCAACCACTAAGAGGAATAGAGATAGTGAACAAGAAGAAATAAAACAGATAAATACACATACAAAACTTGACAGTTTGCAAAGAAATAGGCTCATTGTAATCTGGATAGCTGTGTCTCTCTCTATATATTTTGAACATGAATATTGAGTAAGTGGTAACAGATAGAAAAAAAGCATACCCTCTAAAAATGGGAGAGTTGTATGACACCAAAGATTCTAATATGGTAGAAAATGTAGTTGACTTGCCCACTATATATTGGAAATAAGTGACCTGGTTAAATAATGTGAAGAAGTACATACTTTCTAACAAAAAGAATGGTTGAAAGAGGAGCTGGAATCGGAAATGGATCAAAGACATACAAGCTACAAAACATGAGCATTCTTCTATAATAAGAAATAAAAACATACAATCTGATTTAGAATAATCATATATCAGAGCGATGGAAATGAGAGTGAATGGACAACCTACAGTCTAAAAAAATGAAGTGAAGAGATGTTATAAAATTGGTCCATGGAATGCTTAAACTTGACTAACCTCCTTAAAAGATATTGATTGAAGATTGATTACCTGATAAAGAATAATGACTGAATAGATACAGATTGAAAAACAAAATGTACAAAATAAAACTTACAAGATATGCAGGAGAGACCACATACTTTCTTAAGAAAAGTAAGGAGAGATAGTGTGATAAGAGTAATTCATGGCCAAAAGCAAAGAAACTCACTGCCTAAAAAGAGGCACCAAAATATGTGTTACCAGAAGAGTGCACATCAAAAACCAGGCCAACTCACATACTGAAACAAGACAGGCCACAGTCAGTCTCACCAGAAGAGTGCACATTGAAAACCAGGCCAACTCACCCCCTGAAACAAGACAGGCCACAGTCAGTCTCACCAGAAGAGTGCACATTAAAAACCAGGCCAACTCACAGACTGAAACAAGACAGGCCACAGTCAGTCTCACCAGAAGAGTGCATATCAACAACCAGATCAACTCACTTTCTATAAAAGAATGGCCAGAGCATGTGTTTTAGAAGTGTGCAAAATCAAATTGAGGAAAGCATACTTCCTGAAATAGGGAACAGCACATCATAATCACCAGAACAGTGCACAAGAAAGGGAAAGCTAGAGAATGAGTCAGCATATGAGTTAATAGTTAATAGAGGAACAACTCACAAGCTAGGAAATGGTAGGTGTAGAAGAGAATTGAGTCAGAACATAGTTATTTCAGAAACTTAATAATAACTTACCCACTAAAGAAATCCCTTATATTCATACAGAGACAATGTAAATAGACCATATATCACCTTCTAAATTCATAAACAAGAACATTAGCTGTACAAGTAGCAAGGTCAACATTTAATACTTACTCTCTGAAAGAAACAGACAGCTGCTGATAAGATGTGACATGTTATGCAAAATATTGGCCCACAAACTAATGACAACCATGAGAATAGATAAAAACTTGAACAATTTGTAGACATACATTCTGCAAGAAAAAACAACAATCAGAATAAATCTATTTTTCTCTTGATGATTGTTTTGTTCTCACTTCCTGTGCTTTATCAATAGCAATAAAATTTTGTTATAACTTTGCTTACATTCTGTAAAACAAATCAATATACTATTTTGATACATCTTAATCACCATATAGAACCACATACCTCCTATTAACCTTACAGATTAACTTGTGAGCAGAATTACACTCCTGTTACTTACTGTCTGTTGGAAGATCTCAATAAATAACTGGAGGCATCTCCATTATAAACTCTTACTTCATAGAAATCAATGACTTGTTGAAATATCTTGATCAAATTCTTTGTAATAATTGACCCTTGCAATGTCTTATACTTGTCAAGAAATGATAACCATCTGAGAGAATTGCAATAACTGACCTGAAACAAAATCTTTCCATCCTTCACACAGCTTAACATCCCTTCCCTTTCACCAGTACTCATATTCAGCAAAGTGTTATACCATGTTTTACTCTGAAAGATCAGTAAGTTCTTAACAAGAGTTACCATAGTGGTCATAATTGTTTCCTCTACATTTGATCCTTGCTCCTGGAATGCCAAAAGAATATGGTGTGGCCAATTAAGGGAAGCATACTTGACCACATCACCCTCAAAAAAGTCTTTTGAAGGATATTTTACCAGATGCTGCAAAGACAGTATGGCTAGATGAAGATGTTGCAGAGAAGGATAGATATAATATCGCTTTGATCGTGATTGGATGGTCAAAAAATCCCAGAGAGATGTGTGATAGAGCATAATAGGCTCCCTATCATCTCCAGGAATTTTGATAATGGACTGCACTTGCAATAGCCCACAAATGACCTCCTCATGCTGAAGAGAGAGAAAAGAGCCAAGAAAGGAAATGGATTTGTTATCCTCCAGACTCATGATTGTTCCGAGAATCTGACAGAAGTCTCTAGTCAAAGAAACAGAGGAGAGCACTTGTTTATAGAGTGAATCTAGACCATTATCTCCTGATGCCAGAAGTTTTTGCAAGGCCCTGTGTGGTATGAGATCTCCACCAACACATTGGATCAATGTAGTAGCAAATGTGAATGAACTGCCAGCCTTGTCAAGAAGTGTAATGAGATCTCGAGCTGATGGCCAGGGCTTTGGTATCCTCTGCATGATTTGCCAATTCTCGTTATAGATGCAATCAAATGCACTCCAAAAATGTACTTCAATGTCCCGATGAGCATCAAAATTCTCTAGCTCCAGACGATGCAAAAACCAAGAGTGAGAATTATCAAACTTTTTTCAAATATGTTCCTCTACCCTGCTCGTGAGGAGAATTCGGAAAGGAAGACGAGTCCCCCCAGAAGAAGCCCTGAGCAGGACATCAATGAAGTCTGCCATCTCAGCTTTATCATCACATTCATCAAGAGCATCAATAACAACAACAGAGCTATAGGAGATTCGTGAAGTGTTGAGATGGAGTGGGTCTATGATGAGCCTTTGAAGTCGATAGGCCATTGAGACAGTCAACCCGAGCAGGGCTGGCTCATCCTTCAGAGCACGTTCAATAAATGGCTTTGCACCAGGAACAGTGAGAGAGATCTGATGGGCAAGAGTAGGAATCAGGCGAGATATATGGCTGCGTTCACCAGCCCCTCGCAAGAAGAAGAAGCTCCCTAAGAGGCGGCCCTCTAAAGCATAGCGCTCCGCAATGGTTTGCGCCAATGCCGATTTGCCATAGCCAGCTGGTCCATTAAGCCAGCAGACAAGAGCTCGCTCGTCATTATCATGGCCATCGAGCCACTCCCGAACCTGAGCAATCACCTCCAAACGAGTTCCAGTATCACATCGAGGGACGTGACCTGCGTGAGTATGTGTAGCATTACTGACAGGCCTAAGCAAGCTCGCTAGACCTATGTGTCATCAGTTGTATGAATGGTATTCATGAATTGTAAAACTTTGACGTACTTGGAGCGGGCGGAGGGCCATGAAGAGCAACATTGCCGCCGGCGTTTATGACCTGTGCATTTCCAGATATGGTGGTTCCGATAGCGTTTTGCAAGAGTGTGGTGGATGATGAAGAATCCATGAGTGAAATGATGTGTTGTAATATGGAGACTAGGAAAGTCGGAAGGCTAAAGACGTCGATAGGTCGGGTGGTCGTCGTAGTCGATGAAGAAGAGGTGATCAGTCGGAGATCAATTGTGTTGAATTTGCTGTCGGGAATCTAATCGGGCAACGAAACTCCTCACACAGCTTGTTCTGGCCGCTCTCAAATACTGTGTAGACCAACGTTGACTCGGACTGCTGAGCCAACTCTTGCAACCAGCCCCCGCGAGTTTCCATTTTCCGCCGGCGCACTCAAAAACTCAGTCTTAGAAAGTCACCTCTCTGCTGGGGTGAGCGAGCGTTCTGGGGCGAAGTCCAACATTAGCAGGGCCTTGATGATTGAAGCATGGGTTCACATTTCCAGGACACGATCAGTTCACCCGGACTCACAATCCCCATGTAAGACCTTCTATTTCGTCACCACTATGACTCTCTGACTCGCATTTAACAGTTTGAATAGCAGTCCACTTCTCCGACGGATGTCGACCCTTTAGCAACCAAAAGCGAATATTGCTGAGGCATAGTATGAAACGAGCGGAAACGATGGGCAAGAAGCCTGATCAAATATCAACTGCCGACATCCGTCCCTCATCCCATTAGCAGCCGTCCAGCTCCATCCACCTCACCTTCCTACACTCCCCCAATTTACCTATCTCTCTTGCGCGAAACATGCAAGCAAAAGGCGAAGAACCGTCCAGAACTTCCCTGCCTCCGCCCCCATCTCCACGCTCATTCGCGCTCGAAGTTAGACCTCCAGCCCTTCTTCCATCACCATCCCCCCAGCGATGGCTTAAAACTCTCCCTTCCCTAACCAAACCTCGGTCCTATCTCGCCTCTCGGATATGCTGGAATTCTCATGCAGACACCATGCTCTAGCATCTCAGCCATTTGCGTTTCTCAAATAGATGGCCAGTTCCCTGTGTTACCCGTCTTTTCACAGGATTGGAACGTCAATGAGCCTCGGACTCGTTGGTTGGAAATGATGTGGATGGGATGGAGAGTCGCCACCGTGTAGCGGGTACTACCCCGCGGATCTCTTCGTGCTGCAGTGGATTCGCATTGCAAACAGACTGGAGAAGATCTTATCCAAGCACTCCGAGACGACTCCCCTCCTCAAGTCCGAACTCGATTTCGAAGTTGAATTGGAGCTCCTCGACGACCGCCGCAATTCATGAGGAACGTGAACGAAGATGGCATTGGCGAGGGTGAGTGGTACCTACCACTTTTATAATAAAATTTGGGCAAGTGCCTGCACAACTTTTTGGACACTGCCCAGGTTTTTTATGAAATGAGAAATATAGGGCAAGCATTATGAAATGTGTTTCATTCCCTCCCATAGTTGTTTCATATCCATTTTATTCCTTCCCTATACCTTTTCATAACTATTTCTTTTTTGTCTGGCCATTTATTTCATTGCCCCTCAGTCCCATTTCTTTCCTGTTTCTTTGTTGCCTGGCCTTTCATTTCATTGCCTCCCCAGGGTTATTTCTTTCCTACCCAGTAATTTCTTATTGTTGCCTAGCTATTTCATTTCATAGTTGTAAATATCTTCCTGGGACTTGATTATGTAATACATGTGATGCCTTGTAAAATGTCTTTACCTTGCTTATCCCTTTGCACCCTTATCATGTTATGGTCTCAAATTGAAAGTTATGTAGAAATGGGGCCCACACCCTCTACTAGGAAGCATAACAAATATTGCACTCATTTGACAATAAAGCCCTGTTATTTCATATAATTAATTAAATAAGTATTGCCCTGGCAAGAATGAAATAAAAGAATGAAACCATTACCAGGCAAACATGCAATGAAATAGCTGGGCAACAATAAGAAATTGCTAGGTAGGAAAGAAATAACCCTGGGGAGGCAATGAAATGAAAGGCTAAGCAGCAAAGAAACAGGAAAGAAATGGGACTGAGGGGCAATGAAATAAATGGCCAGATAAAAAAGAAATAGTTATGAAAAGGTATAGGGAAGGAATAAAATAGATATGAAACAACTATGGGAGGGAATGAAACACATTTCATAATGCTTGCCCTACATTTCTCATTTCATAAAAAACCTAGGCAGTGTCCAAAAAGTTGTGCAGGCACTTGCCCAGACTTTTTCATAAACAATGGTTGATACTAGTGCGAGGGTTGAGTTTGTTAGTGGCACAGGAGACGTAATAAGACGATCTCGACGGTCTCGCGGACATCTACGTCCCCTTACCGATGGATGTCGACCCTCATACTCAGCAGATCTTACTTGACAAGTCTCTCCGGAGCATCACAATCCACGCCAATTTATCTGTCCTTCTCTTCCCACTCATGTCGTCTCATCTGCGATGCCCTATGACCGCAATCTGACCGCATTTCTTGGATCTTGATCACCGTACTGTCGACTCATTTACATCGTCTCTGAGTACCTCTGCCCTGTCGTACCCACATCCTCTCAGTCGTTTTTCTTAAAGGCGCTGGGACGCACGCTCACAAGAACTTCGACTCTCTCTCTACATACCCTCTGATTCAAGGATTAACGCTCGTATGCTCTCTTGAAACCCAAAGAAGCTTCTCCCACGGCCCACGGCAAGGTGTACACTTTCCGCTACCCCACCTCTGAACTACCTTTCACGACCCAATCTATGGTGTAGCAGGTCAACTCGTTTATAGCCGGTTGTGCTTGAAAGTTCTGATTGGGCTCAGACCTTACCAGTGAACTGTGCTGGGAGTCTGAGTTTCATCGAAGCCTTCGATTTTCACTGGTGAAGATAAGTGACGACAATGCTTGAAAGGGCGCTCGCAGGCGAAGGGAGACTTGTGGTCTTCAAATTCCATTAACTTGAGCTCAAACGGCTTTTGATTCGTCGGTTGACATTTTATCGTGGAGACTTCCCGAGTATGGCTCTCTTTGTTCCCATCATGGTGGTGGCTCACGAATTTATAGACGGCTGGGTCTTCGAATGAGAGATGTGTATCGACTATCAGAGTCCTACCTGCTTCCTCTGTCACAAGATCAAGCGCGAGGTCTACCACTTCTGCTCGCTTCCCTCAAGACAATGACGGACGACAGCAATCTAACCTCTGCAATTCTTTCATGCATTACCCCGCTACAGTCTCACCTCTCATGTCAGTACTTTATTGTGCCCTACCTATTCCTGTCGGACTCCGGTCATTCCTGCGGATTCCGGTGGAATGGGACCGGACTCCGGCGGAATCCACAGGAATGGGACCGGAATCCAGTGGAATCCACTGGAGTCCTGCGGAATCCAGCGGAATCCAGTTGAATAAGACCACAATCCACCATAAATAGCAGTACTTTACCCTCCCCCACATGCTCTGATCAGAGTATCTACAATCAGAATGGATCAGCACTGATCTAGAGGTCAGGTGACTTGATCTGCATTGATTCAACTCAATACTCAGAATTTCTTATAAAATTCACATCTAGTCAAGTCATTCATCTCAATAAATCAAATTTTAATGTATTTTATTAATGACATGAGTCTATCTTACTACATATAGTGCATATTAAAGAGGACAAGGAAGAGGGGATGGATAAGGGGCAGGGACAAGGAAATGGGGAGGGACAGGGAAGGGGGTATAAGGAAATGGGGAGGGACAGGGAAGGGGGCAGGGAAAAGGAAGGGGGCAGAGACAATGAAATGGGGGAAGGGGGTAGGGACAAGGAAATGGGGAGGGACAGACAGGAAAGGGGGGAGGGAAATGGGGGTACATGGAAATGGGGAGGGACAGGGAAGGGGGATGGGAGTACATGGAAATGGGGAGGGACAGGGAAGGGGGGCAGGAAAAGGAAGAGGGGCAGGAAAAGGAAGGGAGGGACAGGGAAGGGGGAGGGACAATGCACTCGTCGTCGTCGTGTGATGTCATGGTGGCTGTTAGCGAGATGGGATAGGATGAAGGAGAGTCAGGGGACTCACCTTTGTGTGAACGACGAACGACGACGAGAACGACGACATCGTCGTCGTCGTTCGTCGTTTGGTTGCCACGTCGCTGACAGCGACGTGGCACCTTGGTTTCCCATCGGCGGGGGCCGTCGTCGTGCGTTGATGTGGGTGTCCGTTGGCGTGGTCATCGTCCGTCGACGTGGTGGTGGTGCGTTGACGTGGGCGTCCGCTGGCGTGGTCATCGTCTGTCGACGTGGTGGTGGTGCGTTGACGTGGGCGTCCGTTTGCGTGTTCGTGTCGTTGTTGGCGTTGGCGTCTGTTGACGTGGCCGTCCGTTGACGTCGTGGGGCGTGTCGTGGTCCGTGGGCGTGGTCATGGTGGTCGTGTGTTGACGTGGTCGTCCCTCGCGGTCCGTTTTCATCGCCTCGACCTCGCCGGGGCTCATTTGCTTGCTGACGTGGCGTTGCCGCGTTGTTGTTGACGTGGTTGTTGTTGGCGGTCGACGACGTTTGTGGGCGGTGGTGGCCACAGGTGACCGTGGTGACGTGGCGTGGGTGGGTAGCGGGCGCGCGTTTACGAGGAGCGGGGACGATGGTGGTGGTGGGAGTAGAGGTTGGTGGTGGTGGGAGGAGAGAGGGTTGTGTTTGGACGAGCGTGAAAGCTGTTGCCAAACAAACAATTGTTTGGCAATGGGCTTGTGCCAAACAAACCGGATTCCGGTTGCATTCCGTTTTTGCCAATCCGGGGACCATTCCGGTCACAATTCCGGAATGCCGAAATTCCACCGGAATGGTAAAGCACCGGAATGAAGAAAATAGCAGGCCTCTCTGCTAAATTTCACTCCTCCGGAATCCACCGGAATCCGCAGGAATGACCGGAATCCTGCAGGAATTAGGGGGGCACTGATAAGACCTCTCTCATGTCCTGGTCTGTTTTGCTGCCACAACACAGGGACACAAGCCAGCCCTGAATGCCTTATGCTGGACTCATTGGGACTTTTCACGAACTACCGATGCACAACTTCGAGGTTTCGTACATAGAGGGGTTACAATTTCTGGAGAGAAAGTGGGTGGTGGAGATACAGATGACGCTCGTATGCATTGAAGGAACTTGAGCAGAATCGATAAGCATTCGTCGAGGGCGGAGTTGATTTGGATAGAGGAGATAAGAATGGGGAGGGTGGGCGCAAGGTTGTTATTTGAGTCTGGAAAACCGGTTTGATGATATGCTATGACAACCAGAGCCACCGTCGTTGGTGCTGATGTGAGTTCTTTGAATGTGCACCCAAGAAAGGTGTACGCATCCTGTCATTTTGATTAGTTGAATGAAGCCGAGATAATGGACACAACGCATACGAGAACTTCTAAAACGACTTTCTCTCCCTCTTCCCACCCCGCACCAACGGAAGTTTTGACTATTAGTCGAGGGAAACATTGTTCAAATGTTCTCTGTGCCACAGATGAGTGGATACAGTGAGCATAAGCAGTCAAAGTTTGGTCTAAGAGATTTTTCATGAGTTGCTAGAAAAAGTAACTGAGTTCTTTGGAAAGGCAGTCTATTTCGATGATACATACAGTGAATCCTAACGCGTCTTCCTCTTTGGCATCCAGAATGCCCTTGACCCACTGAGCAGCCCTTTTAACCAATGACGCCATCGCAGAAATAAGTGCTCGGCCTTTTTCAGTGGACGCCGTGGACCCAGCCATAAGATTCACGGTTTCTAGCTCAGTAAGTAAAGGTCGAAGAGTGTCCGGAGCTGTTTTCTTTCGCAACTTCAGCCTTGGGATCGCTGTGTTGTCATCAGTTGCTTTCCCATGAATTGAAAAGAAAAAGAGCTCACAAGCAGCGTATAGCCCAGTGAGAATAGAAAGGCGAACTACAGGCGAGGAGGCTGCCTGTTGAGGTACTTTTTGCTCTACTTCTTCAAATCCATCATTGTCAGCGTTGAGTGATACCTCCAGCCTCTCAACTGCTTCCTGAATGGCGATAACAACCTCTTTCGCGGAGCAGCATTCTCCGATCAGGGGTAACAAGTCCCCCGCAGCTGGGTCATTGCACAATAGAAGCAGTGAAATCGAATTCAGCAGATCCTGTAATCATATTTCAACATACAATATAAGGTGTTAGATCAGAAAACGTACGAGGAGATCTGAACATCCCGACTTGGATATAAGATGGTGTATTTCCAAAAGAGAATACTTTGGTTTGGCATCGTGGGTTGCAGATGTGAGTAGGGCTATAATCGCTGTACTCGCTGCCTGCGGTTCTGTCAAGATGTTTATGAGATCTATAACACAGACAGTACCTCGTCATCAGAGCCTTCAGGAAGGTGAAGCGCTGTCACAAGGTCTTCGTTCAGCGGCATCACTGTAACTTGCAACTTGAAGGTGCTCTTGGAGAGTGACATCACGTGTAACATGTGGTTGAATTTTCAACTCGTTGAGGACGTCCTGAAGACATCTTGCCCTCGTTGCAGTAATCGAACCAAGGCTCCTTTCATAGGGTGCAAATCACCGTTATTGGAGCGTTGAGTTGGAAAAACCATTTGTTCCAACTTGTTGGCTGTCAAACTTCATCATGCAAGATTTTCCATACGACATTTGGCAGGTCATTGCCTCTCACATTCCAGAGAGGAGACTACGTGCTTTATACGGTGTCAACAGGCTGTTGTTCTTAGCCCAATGAACGCTCGGTACTGAACAATCTCTTTCTCCTCTATCCAGGACAAATGACTTGTTCAAAATCTTGTTCGTCTCAGGTAGTTACTACTCAACTTGCTCCTGACACTGGTTCAACTCATAGTCAGACTCTTTAAATAGAGACCCGTTCGTTGTTAAACGTGTTCGTTCACTCGTCCTGGGGCCTTCCTTGGCTGAAGAACTGTTTGAGTCGCGGGGACGGTGGGCTAAACCCCAGAATCTCTTACTGCGAATGAGGAACGCCCCAGGATACTTTAAGCAAGGGATAAGCTCTGGCGACCTCATTGAAAAGATGGTCAGCGTGGTGCAAGGTTTAAATGGTATTACATAGTTGACCGTCGATTCAGAGTCATACACGCTTTTCCCTATCGTCAGAGCCATCCTCGATCTTCGCGCACAAGTCTTCTCAAATTGAAGATCTCTCTCGCATATGCCTTCGTCCTATCATTCCTTCTGTTGGAACATAAGCTTCTCCTCCTCCTCTTCATCATCTTCGCCGCTCTCTTCTTTGTCGCTGGTATCACCTTCCTCGTCATCCTCGTCACTTGTATCACTTTCCCCCTCACTGCTGTAAGGATGCGAAGAAGGGCGCTATGATGGTGAATCTGGATAGTCGTGGGAAGGGGGTGACACACGCGTCTTTCTTGTTGGAGGGTACCATGTTTTTCGTGGTGGTTGGTGGGCTGTTGTGGAGATTTGGTGATGGTTCGTTGGCTTTTGCCCAGTTTGTGGTGTTTTGGAGGTGGGGATAGAGAACGTCGAGAGCGAGAGGAAGGGAGAGATTGAATACACGGCTGAGGCACGTGCAGGTTTCATTGGGTCGGGGTTGAAAGGGTTCTCTCAGAGTCAGAGTCTGCGTCCAGATCTGTCACGTTCATTGGCATCCAATATGGATTTAACGAATCCAGGCCATGGCTCAGCTGCAATGTATGCTAGCTCATGAAGGTCATGAGTAAATGGATAGCAAATGTCGCAGAGGGTGGTAATAAAATGCATTTAGACCAGTTTGAGGGGACGTGTGGAATGAGTACTTCGAGACTAGGTGTTTGATTACGTCTGTGGAGATTGAATGAGTGCGTTGAGGAGATATTTTCCCCCAAGACATACCTTGGTAGGAGGTGTTTCGAAGAAGTATGGATCAGGTGACGCACTCAACGGTGGTCAAATCGTCTCCGATGGGGCCTTACAAAGACGATGCAAAAGTGAACTCGTACCTATTAAAGAAGGTGAGTTGGGCCATGAATGACGACGACAATGAAGGGCTCACCAGTTCGGCAAGTCTGGCACCATCAACTCTGATATTGGCCTCTCAGCGCATTTCACAACGATTACGAGCCTCACATCTCCCTCCTTCTGCTTCTGTTTAGCCGAATATGCATTGTGAACGGCACGTAAGCTGTGCAGAAAACCCTCAAAGGTGTCACCTGCTTATATGCACCCATTCACGGCTCCATTCTCCCAATGGTGCCCCCAGCTTGCTAAAGGAATGTTTACGTATGCGTAGAAGAGCCGCGTTAAGAAATAGGCGATGGCATCTGCGCGTACGTAGCTGATCTTTGAGGGTCCTGGTGCGAATGAAAGATGGTCGAGGCCATTATCGATGACTGCTATGGTGGTTTGCATGGCGTCAGCGTCGTTTATGTACGTGAATGGTGGAGGGAAGGGAGAAGGAAGGGAGAAGGAAGGGATAAAGAATGGACAAAGAATGAGAAGGAATGAAGGAGGAATGAAGGACACCGTCCTTCGCCAACACAAGCTTCACGACCTGATCAAAATGTCTTCATGGGAGAACCTCAATCACTGTAGTTAACGTTCAACTTTGGCAGGGAAGTGAAGGGTGCCCTTTAAGGATTGGTGATCTCGACTGTACTTTACCCTCCCCGGCTTAATCCATATGGAATCCATGGAAGGGGGGGTGGATTCCAGAAATTCCAGATGGATTCCATGGAATGGCTGATGGATTCCATACTTTGGGAGATGGATTCCATGGAATAGCTGATGGATTCCATACTTTGGGGGGATGGATTCCATACTTTGGGGGATGGATTCCATGGAACAGCTGATGGATTCCATGGAATAGCTGATGGATTCCATACTTTGGGGGGATGGAATCCATACTTTCTGGGATGGAATCCATACTTCTTTCAGATGGAATCCATTCTTTTTAAGATGGAATGCATCCTCTTTCCATATGCAATTCAGTTAGAATAAGTTCCCATTCTGGTAAAATTAAGTACAAAAATGTATTATATAAGACTACACAATTTTATTTTACTACATACAATATTAAAGGGAGAGGGTGGAGGGAGGGGTGTAGAT